ATCCATGAAAAAAATTAAAATTATGCGCCGTAATAATATCTTGCGCTGTCGTTGCTGATACGTACTACAATAAAATACCATAGATTCTACTGTCTCGAATAAAATTAATAAAATTTATGAATATGATCTTAATACGACTTAAACAACCAATATTCTAGGTCGTACAACCTATAGCTTAAGTCGCACCACCTTTAAAATTATACAATTATAACAATTTTTTCTCAATTGATTTACTTATACGATTAATTACAAAAATGATCACCACATATTTTTTCCGTTTTTTTTTTGTCAACTCCTGCACATAAGTCGTGTGCCCATCATCCTTTGCATTTTAGACATTGAATCATATTCTGTTCATGGCCTTCCTCGCAAATATTACAGGAGGCAAATTTGATGTGAAGCAATATAGCTCATTTTGCAGGAAAAGCCACAGCTGATGTGATATTACGCCTAATATTAAAAAGAAGAACTTAAGCGATAGTAAGACTTACGCATCCTTACCCTAGATAATATATCTGACTATTAGGTGCTCCCAACCTATCTCGTCTTAAAAACTGAAAACACTTTACTGAGTTTCGATATTAGAATATAAAAATTTTACAATAATAAATACAATTGCTTTAAGTTTTTAAATATATATTTATAATTTGGAATCCACAACTAGCTTTTCATTGAAAAAGTATTTTTTACTTAATATAACAAATAAATGCTTAAGAAAATAGCTCCTTAAAAAGTAGTTGGATAAAGAAAGTCATGGAACTTGCAGTTTCCCCAAAAAGGTTTTACTTTTCTTTAATTTTAAAAATTGTAAGTTTTTAAATAATTATATTTTGCATACATTTGCTTATTAAATTCAATAACTTACCTGACAAGCACGTAGCAATTACTCGTAAAAGTGTGTACAGCATATTTAATTGGGTGTACTCCAGCTGCGCTAATGAAAATCCCCCCCCAGGTCGAGCTATAGTCCAACTGCGCCAATCACAATTTCTTCCCCCCTGCCGCCTACAGGGTTACAATTTAACCTTTCGTGCCAATTGTAGCCAAGAGGAAAATAAAAATAAATAAATATAATTACATATCACAAGAACAAGTAAAAAATATCTAACAAGCAGGCTAATTACTTAAATAACAGTAAAAAATGCTAGAGCTAACAAAGAAAATAAAAGGTATTGGTAAACATATATATTAGCATTACAAACATCTTTCATTTATGATAATAATATAATTAAATAATTATAAAGCATACAATTATATTTTTAATAATTACATCAATAATAGTCAAGATATCTGAACTAGACTGGAAAATTTAATAGAGTGCAAAAAATTATTCCATATTAAAGTGTGTTAAAGTGTGCTAGAAATATTTTCGTTAATTAAAGCAATCATGTAATGTTTGCCAGAAATTAATAGTTAAATTTTAAAAAAAACTTAGCATGAAAATCTATTATAACAACATTACTATGCTTTTGGATCACTGACGTATAAATTGTAAATAAATTAAAATTATTATGCTAAGAATTTTTTCTAAAATTTATCTAGAAGAAAAAAATTGGATAAACAGTACTGCAAATTAATATAATCAATCAGGCCTCTCAATAAATAAAAGCTGATTTTTTTAACCAAAAACTAAAAATTAGGATGCAAATTAATAATTACATATTAATTTAAATTAAATATAATTACATATCACAAGAACAAGTAAAAAATATCTAACAAGCAGGCTAATTACTTGAATAACAGTAAAAAATGCTAGAGCTAACAAAGAAAATAAAAGGTATTGGTAAACATACATATAGCATACAAACATCTTCATTTATGATAATAATAATTTAAATAATTATAAAGCAACAAATTATATTTTAATAAATTACATCAATAATAGTCAAGATGTCTGAACTAGACTGGAAAATTTAATAGAGTGCAAAAAATTATTCCATATCAAAGTGTGTTAAAGTGTGCTAGAAATATTTTCGTTAATTAAAGCAATCATGTAAATGTTTGCAGAAATTAATAGTTAAATTTAAAAAAAGCTTAGCATGAATCTATTTAACAACATTACTATGCGTTTGGATCACTGACGTATAAATTGTAAATAAAATTTAAATTATTATGCTAAGAAGTTTTTCTAAAATTTATCTAGAAGAAAGAATTAGATAAACAGTACTGCAAATTAATATAATCAATCAGGCCTCTCAATAAATAAAAGCTTATTTTTTTAACCAAAAACTAAAAAATTAGGATGCAAAAGTTTGTGTAATATACTTGGAAATATCTGAACATATAATTAGTTCGAAACATACAATTAAATTAATAACAAGCTAATTAACAGTAACATTAAGATTAATTTCATTCAATCTAAAACAAGCAATCGATCAGGAGCTCCACATAACTGAAGTTTTAATGCTATTTTACGTAGATTTGCGTATAAAATAAAAGTTGCACTTGTGAAACAAGTGAATAATATACTGATAGCCAACAGGAATTCAAATACAGTGGTTAAAAATAGTATAACAACTTGTCAGAAGGTATGCAAAGTTGCCTTGGCTAGAGAAATTGAATGATTATAGAAAACTCATAAAGTTAAGCGCTACAGTGTGAAAAGAAAATTCTGGAATAAACATGTTAAGAAAATTAGATGGAGAAATAATCCTTAATTTATTGATATTCATATAACTCTATGCTTTTGGAAAAATGTTACATATAATTTGCACCGAGGTATCAATCACCGAAACTGAGTTAATTTCTTTCCTTATTTTTCTTATTAGCGGGATTGTATAAAGATATACTAAGATAAAGGTAAAAGTTTTTGCAATACTTTTAAAGAATCAATTTAAAAAGTATTTTTACTTCACATGAACTGAAATTTTTATGCTACATTTTTACACAGTAAATAAGTACAAAAAGAGAAAGAGCTGGGGTATTCACTGGGACTAGAAACTCTGGTCGAAACTACCAATGTTCAGTGACTTTTTTGCTTGAAGACCTTTTGAAATTAGGCTGAACAATATATCAAGGAAAATAGAAGATACAGCACACGTAAGAACAAAATTGGGCTGAATTAGAGATTTACATGTTTGGTGAATGAGTTAAACTTACCTGTATGTCATTATGAAGTTTTAGGAAAAAGCATGAGTGAAGAAGGCAATGGCAATCTAAATCATTGTAATCTAAATGTATATTATTATGAGTATCTGCTATTAATTTCAATACTGCTGAAAAAATTTTAAATGAATTAAATTATAAATCACATGAACTCGTTGCATTATAAATTACAACAGTTAGAAATATTATTAGCGTGATTTAGCGACCATCTTTGTTAACAAATAATTTCAAGTAATTAATTTTACAAATAATTCAGCCTGAAACTAGGTTGGAAAATAAGCTACATGCTGAAGATTAAGCTTTGCCAAGGTATTAGAAACATCTTCTGTTAACTAGAGTTGTGATGCAAGAATTTGTAAAAATTATCATTTAAATATAAATTGGCATAAATACAATACAAAGTATATAAATTCTACATGCATGAAAACTTGAGTACAGTGCAACAATATGTGAAAAAGGAATGGATTAAAATGGAACTGAAAATCCCAGGATATGAATATAAGGGAGTTTATTTTTTTAAATATTTTTTGTTAATTATGAAAATTCTGCTGTAGCTCATGATTATTAATTTATTAATTAAATGTTTATTAGAAATTAAATGTATGCCAGGTGGAAAACAGAATAAATATTAAACCTTTCTAGTATTAAAATATGGAATTTGTAACAAAGTTAAATAACCTTAAATAACTTCAATAATTAAAATGGAAAGTTTAATACGGGACTATATTGCAATAATATTAGTGTGAATTTAGAACGACTTAAGAAGTCCAATTTTAGATTAATAAAGAATTTTTAATTAAATTAGAACTGTTTACCTAAAATGGTAAATTTGAAAGTTAAAACCATTCTGCTATCTAAGAAGATTTGTTAATATTTATCTAGACAAGAAACTTATTTAAGGTGAGCTACAAATCCGATATTTTATAGGTTGATTATGTATCAGTTTTGTGTTATGTCATTAATCTGTCAATTTTACTATTCAAACCTGATATATACATATATATATATCAGCGACTAAAATCAAACAACTTGGAAAAGGTTTTAATTCTTACAGAGAATAAAAAAGATCTGGCTCATCATTCATTTAAGCATCATAAAATTTTAAAATGAGTGTAGAAAGAAATGTATTTTTACTTTAACACACGCGAGACTTTAAATTAATATTTGTTTTACATGCACAGTTTTTACAATATTGATAAACGAAAATAAAGGCTTGCAGTCTCAACAGAATGCCCCATTAATGCCGATAAACGACTTTTTGTAGCACCCAATCTTCCTGGAAAGAAATGGGGGACAGGAAACGCCGCGCAGTTCGTGCATTAGAAAAGAGGGGGACGGGGATTTTCGATCAAATTCGGTGCAGTTCGTACCCTACCGGTCGAGCTATAGTCCAACTGCGCCAGGGTGTACTCCAACTGCGCTAATGAAAATTTATATAATATTCTGGTGATTTTTTTAAAAGTATTATTTTCTTCTACTTAGGAATAAAACATTTTTTGCGAAAATCTTTGTAGAAATTCGTGCTTCTACAAAAATAGTAGCAGCAATAATTAGAATAGCATAAATACATAAGCAAGACTCATGGTTTCGTGTTTATTGATTTGCACATGAGTTTGATTCTCATTTTCGTATTAGCAGCCGAATCAAAATTTAGTCAAATTTGAAAACATGTATTCCGATTATTTTTTAATATTACGTTAATCTACGTAGTTAATGTTTGCCCTCTTAGGAGTAAATTCTTTTGGCATCTGTGTTTAGTTTTGTCTGTGCTATGTATACCATCCCGTGAAAAAGGCATTTTTTAGTATCAATACTTAAAGTAATCATACTAGAAAACAATATAAACAGCAATAGTAAAACACCAATATAAACAACAATACAAAATGTAAAAATATTTTATTTGATATAAATCATGATATGTCAAAATGAGTAAATCAACAAAACAAAATTTAACAGTGATTGAATGAGTTCTACATTTCATTTATGAACATGATATAGCAGATAAAAGCATATTCAAAGTATGAAATGTCCACATTAATGACATCAATTTGTAAAGTATACAATGAGCTAGATTTATAAAATAAATCGATTCTTCTGGATTAAATAAAAAAAGGTATTTACTACTATCAATAATGATAAGTTGGTAGTAGCAGATAAATTGGCATAATGATAAACATATACAAAGTATGAAATGTACACATGAATGACATCAATTTACAAATTATACAATGAGCTAGAATTATGAAATAAATCTATTCTTCTGGTTTAAAATAAGTACTTACTAGTACCAATAATGATAACTGCACTGAAAATACTGTACGTTTTGCCTTAAAAGTTCAAAACAAACATTATTTAGTCTTTAAGTATTGCTGTTAAACTATATTTTTATCTAATGAAATGCAATTTAATATAGCATATGGAATTTCATTATTGTAAAATAATGCAAATTTATATTTTAGCTCATACATTTATTTTAATTCTAATAGATAGTATCGCTTTGTTCAACAAAGGTCCAAGTAAAGAACTCTGCATTTTATTTGATTCAGATAAATACTGTAATATATTTCTGGGCATGGGCTTATTTCATATATTTCCTATTACCTAAATGCATATGGTTTTTCTTTGGGAGATGGCGAAATATAATCTTTACACTATGCAACATATTGGCAGCTGTATTACATCGGTGATTACAGCCATGTACAGTCACTCTATATTATATTGTTTTGTTTCCCGTAGAGGATAATTGAAGTAATATTTATTCTTGGAAAATACAAATTATTATTTGAAAATCTTTTTAGTCGCTTTTTGTAGTTATGAGTTCGCTGTGCTAAGTAGTAGGATATTTCTCATAACTTCTTTTCTTATATAATACTTAATGTAAAATTCATTACAACTTTATGTAAAGCTGCGACAAATTTCTTAATAAAAATGCAACCTATAAGAATGTACGAATATACGCTACGTTGTAAGAGAAATTGTACAATTTTTAATAAACCTTACGCATTATATTTAATCATATTCTACATCCCCTTTTTTGAGAAATAAGATTAATATTTTTCCGAGTCTCTGGCATCTGGAATTCATTGATACTCATTCATGAACCTCAAATTGCGACGCGAATCGATAAACATTTCCACGTATATTTACTGACATTTACATATGAGTAGAAACTCAAGGGTAATTGAAATTTGTTTCACCTTCAATAATAGATTCACAATATTACGCTATCTATGTATCTTATCTTACGCTATCTATATATCTTATCTATGTTATATATCTTAATATAAACTTGCTTATTAAAATTTTTCATTTCTGTAAATTTCTCACAACTTGGATGCATAGAAAATGCATTAACATAGCTAAAAGCACCTTTGGACTTACATTTTTAAAACTCGTAACGCCTAAAAATGATTTGTTACAGTGAATGGTTGACTTATTGCTAATAAACTTACTTTAAGATATATTAAACTAAACTGATTTAAAATTATATTCATAATTGCATGTTTTAAGCCTTGAGGGCATACATACTATTCCTGAGCAAAATGTAAGTATTCACTTTCATGAAGTTTTTACAAATGTATTTAGATTATCATGTAAAATAACTATTTCAATTATTTCGTATTATGACTATAAACAGATTTATTTGCAACTGGCAGGCATTTAAAGAAAATTGTTTTTCATAATTTAAATTTTATATGAAGGCAGTAAATTATAACTCAGGTCTATTAACATTAGCCATCTTTTTAAGCTGAAACCAGCTTTCATATCAGAATAATGAGCTATATAGATGACACTTTGGGCATTATATTGGTTAATCGAAGACACGCTATATACTTCGTGGGGACGCATGTCTTTATGTGACTATGCGCCCATTGAAGGAACTGTGAAAATGCTGGAAATGACAGCTATTATGCACCTGCTTTTAATTGCATGTTTAACATTTTGCTATTACTCACATCTGTCAGTCATCATCCTCTTCATTTTCATATGGGTACTTGATTAAATAACCTTGAGGAATGATGAGGTCCGGTCTATATGTGTATTTATATACATGTCCCTTTTTATCTGTAGTTTGTTGCTCATGGTCCCTTTCATCACGCTGCGTATGGTCATCCTCATATTTCGGATAATGGTCTCTGGAATAATCAGGATCATGTTCATTGTCGTCTTGACTCTCGTGCAGATGATCAGGATGATAACCGTGTTCGTATTTATGATGATTTTCTATTTTGTGCGAGGGATCATCATGCAGATAATGAAATTCCCGTTTGTGATCGTCTTTTTGCTTATGTTCATGTTTATGATGATTTTCTTTTTCGTCCAGAGGGTCATCATGTAGGTGATCATATTTATCTTTGTCGTCGTCTTTTTTCTTATCTAAATGAAAGTGATAATTGTTATATTCATGTTTATGCTCATTTTTATGCTTATGGAGATGACCATGATGATGATCGTGTTTGTGTTTATGATCATTTTTGTGTTTATGCAGGTGACCGTGATGATGATCGTGTTTATGTTTGTGTTCATTTTTATGTTTATGGATATGACCATGATAATGCTTGTGTTCATACTTATGTTCATTTTTATGCTCATGCAGATGACCATGATTATGATTGTGTTCATGTTTATGCTCATTTTTATGTTTATGTAGATGACCGTGTTTATGCGTATGTCCGTGTTTATGTCCATGCTTATGCTGATGATGGTGATGATGTTCGGAATTAATGATAATGTTCGGTTTCTTCTCGACACTAAAAAAGAAAGTAAAATAAACTGTATCATAATATATAAAATTATTAAGATTTAGTATTGCACTATATTATGCTAGTATAAAATATTCACATTTCCTTTATATTTAATAGTAGAAAAAACAGTAGAATCTTAATATTCCTATAATATTAAAACTACATACGTTTCTTTAATATGTATGGGAACAACAATGGGATGATAATGATGATGGCAACAAGCATTGCAAACTTCTGCTGCAATGACTAACATGAGCCATAGCTTTAAGTCTCGCCATGGTAGTTTTCTCATTTTTCTGGAGCACTATAGTTCTAAAAATAAAATAAATAATATAAATCATGACAAATAAGAAAAAAAAAAAAAAAAAAACTGAAATTTTTCAGATTTTAAATTACGTCTAAAGGGGCGTTTTTTAACGTTTTGAGTGTTACCTTTATTTATTAAATATCATGTTCTTTGCACTTAAACCATAAAATTCAGTTCAAGAGCAATATCGCAAAATAATGTTAAATTAAGCATATCTTTAGAATTTCCGATATACACAGTCTCGCGAGCTGGAGATAAAAGCATTTTTTTTCTATATAACGTTGCCATTTCTCGCTTTTAAAGCATTAAGTTTGTAAATCAAAAATTCGTTAAAGTTTTACAAAATATAAAATCTATAATAAAACAAATTCCAAATTTGGGATTTCAGATGCCCATATTCGCAGTAGGATTTCGTCATTCAAAATTCGATGGCTCTATGTACCATTGTTTTATCACAATGCGAGAAATAGACAATCATTTATGCAGATTTTTCATTATTTAATTTCTTCAAATATAATGCAGGACTCTAACATTTTGTGGCAACAGTTTGAAAAGTGAACCGACGTTTATGAGTCCGACGCAAAATGCCAAAACGAAAGCAATAGTCCTTCGGGACTGAAATCCCTTTGGACTAATAAAATAACATAAAATCAATCATAACAAATAAGAAACAATGGAATAATTTTTTTGCACGCTATTGTTTTAAGGAGTAGAAAATTATAACAAATAATAATGTAACGAACTCCAAAGACTTTCAGATGAAAAACCAGATCTGGGATTAAATAAATCAAAAATAAATGAAAACTAAACAAAAAATAATAGAACTAAATTAAAAATGAATGATATTTATAAGAAAGATTTTTTTTATTTGGGCTTTATTATTACATACTTGGAAATTACATGCTCACAAATGTTCGTAGGTTACAAATAAATGCTGTAATGAAACGATACATTTCTTTTTCTTTTTATAAAGCTGAATGAACTCAAACAGAATATGTGACCAAATTTATATACGGTACTTTATGTAGAAGTGTAATCTCATTTTTCGTGCAATAAAACTAGAATTTGATAACGTGTGATCTTCGTTTTGAGTTTTGTTAAAAGTAAAAAAACCTGATGTGTTCACCACATGATTTCCTTGTACGGAATATTAAATTATACGCATTTTTTCTTGCATTTCATTTAAACTTATTGAATTTAATTAAATCTACTTCGCCGACAGCGCATAAACAACAATAGAATAAATGCGTTCTTTAAAATTCACTCTAGTATTTGTTTACCATAGTGACACTCTGGCGCTAGATTCACTTAACAGTATTATATTTCGTTCATATTATAACTCAGAATGCACAAAATTTATATCATTTAAAGAATAGAATTATCTAATCGTTGCCACATGTTCCGTTCAAATACTATAATAAAGCTAGAATGATGTATAAAAGAAATTAAGCAAACAAAACGAAAAAGAAACAGTTTTTCACAGACAATTGAGTATTTCTCATTCAATTAATTCAGTTCTCACTTCGCGAGAAGGCAAAAATACATAAAAACTCAAAATATCTATATTAAAAATTACGAAGTAAATCTTAAACACTTATTTCCTCGAAAAATTTCCAGAAAGGATTAAGCATGATTTAATTGGCAATAATAAATGAAGGCGTTATCTTTGTTGTTACGAAGCTAAGTTTCTCTAGATTGGCAACGAATCCACTTGTCTGCTGTTTCAAATGTAAACAATTAATGTCCGCCATAAAAAAAGGCTTAGCGGCACTTAAACAACTTTAAAATTGTTGATAATTCTAAAAATATTGCATACAGATTTACTAAAGGCATAAAAACCTTAACCGGAAGATAAAACAACATAATTCAATAATTTTTAAAGCAAAAAATGTAAAATTTACAAACATATGAGAGTAAAGAATCTGAGATCACTGAGCCGGGTAACAGAGTAGATATATATATAAATATATTTATATACGTTTGTAGCGGCCGATTGCAACCAAATTACTAGGTGCACATGTACATGTTATAGCAGTCCTATATACAAAATTTCAACTTTCAGAGGCTACTTGTTTTTGAGTTATGCGAGGTACGTACGTACGTACATACGTTCGTACAGACGCCACGAAAAATTCTCTTCAGAATTAATTTTAAAGCAGTTTTATAATTTTTTTGGAGGAAACGAGTCTTTTATTCTGTCCTTACGTACAGATATCACGCAAAAACATCGTTAAGTTGCATTCGTTAGCGGTCAAAATGGATATTTTCTTTGAAATATACTGCCTGAAACTTTTCATGACTACAATACTTCCTTTTTACTTCGTACAAGGACGTAAAAACAATTTCTGCTGAAAGAAAATGAACTATATGTTAAAATAAACTGCCTACGTATGTGATCCATTTATGTCAGTTTTAACTGGTGTGAAAGCTTTAATAGTGTAAAACTAATATTAATAACAAGTGATGTCCTTTAAAACCAACATGCTTTTTAAAATGAATGAATTAAAGAACATATTTTCAAAGACATGCGTTAAATATTGGAAGATTGCAAAATGATTATGTATAATTCCTCAATATTTAATTAAAATAATGTATTCAAAATGTCGATTAAATAGCATAAGCACCCGCTAACATATATACTTCCAGAGAATTAATGAGATACTTTCTTCTAAAGATAGAACATGTCTGTCAAGAACTGTGGATATAATGCAAGAGGATTACTTTGGATGTTGAACCGCCGTCCTTCCAAATAGGTACATGGTACAAAACGTCTCAAGAAATATTCTCTAACATCCAAAGTAATATCGTCGACAGTATGTAATATAAAAAAATACATTCATCTTAAACCTTTTATATACAAAGCGTAAACTCTGAGAAAAAGTAATCTTTGCCAGTTAATACAGTTACATTATGCGTTATAGACACTGTATGATACAGGTAATTAACATTAGCTTTTTCATAAAAATTGTATGTGATGAGATATTGGATAACATTTGCGAAATAAGGAGAACAAAGCCTAGCTTGAGAAATGACATTTTAATCTCTGATTAGTAAAATGCTACAGGTATAAAAATATTTTTCGTAGAGAATATAAGTTGGAATGTTACATATTTATAAGCTGGGGATTTAAACAAAATACATTTATCAGATTTTCGAAAGCGTTAAATGCATTCTAGAGATTAAAACCAAAATAATATTTATTGTTAATAGCATTACTGTTAATTAGCATTTATTGTTAATTCTTATTTTAAAATCTCTTTCAAATTGCCAAATAAGATTCTATAAGTCTTCTACACACTCTTTATGCCTGAAAGTATTTAGTGAGCAATGAGCATTAAACAGAGACTTACCCGATGCCTCCAACAAAAACATGGAAAACTAATAAGAGCATACAAGTGTCAACTCTTATATACGCATCACTTTCATATGGAATAAGTATTCTTTTCAACAGATTATCAAAATAATTCCTCGCTGTTCCGTAGCCTTGTTGACATTTTGTCGGCTTTTTAATGCAAGATAATCAGGCTTCCGCATTTTATTAGATCTTCTTTCCTTCCGGTAGAAATTTGGATAATTCCCTCTTTCTGATATGTAATACTACAGGAAAGATCATTCATTGGCAAATTCACGAACATCTTCATATCGTTTTCTTAATTCATTCAAGCTTCACGGATTATTTTAATGCGAAACCACACTACTAGAGGTGAACTCACGTTTAATATTTCCATATCAATAAATCATAATATTCAGCCTTAAGGATTAAAGCATTTCTGATCCCTATTTGACGTCAAAGAATTATCTAAAACGTAAACATTGTAAGGTTGTTATGCAAAAGGAATAACATCGACAAAAATCGGAAAGATTTAGAAAATTATGGTATACTTCAAACTAGAACAGAAAGCGAAAACTGTGATTTACCTTTGGCGAAATTTTTGATAAATAATATGTTTTACTAGTAGAAAATATCATTTGTATTTACTGATTACGCAATACATATTTTATTTGAAGTCCACTTAAGGGGGCTCATACACCTTAAGACCCTTATGATTTTCGAACATGTAACTGTTGCAAGAATTGGGATATTTTATTTATTTTCAAAGCAATTACTTCCAACTTTTTACAGCTGACTACATAATATAGCTGCTTTAGGAACTACTAACCAGAAATTTTATGTTGCCACAAATACTTTTGTAATTTAATTCGCTTTGTGACAAACGTTTTCGTCATATTTCTACCTTGCGCGCATGATATTTTAAAAATGGCCAATGGTACATACTTGAAATTGGATGGAATTCTTTATATGGGTACTATCTTCTAACTGAACCAAAAATATGACGAATATTTTAATATTAAAAAGTTTTATACACGAAAACATGACATATTTTTTTAATAAAATACATTTTATAAAACTCAACTCCAAATAAAATAAAAAATTAACATGAAATTCTTAGAATTTTTGGTTCACACTAGTTTCCAAATGTTATAAAAGCTACATATTAAATCTGGAATTAAATTATAAAACAGAATGTTTTAAACTGTGCGCGCAAGATGGAAACATAACGAAAAATTTTGTAACAAAGCAGATTAAATTATAAAAATATTTGTGGCAACTCAAACTTTCTGATTACTATTTCAGAAAGCAGCTATATTATATAGTCAGCTGTAAAAAATTGGAAGTAATTGCTTTTAAAATTAATAAGTTATCCCAATTCTTGCAACAGTCACATATTCGAAGATCTTATGGGTTTTAAGGTGTATGAGTCCCCTTTATGTAAAAAGAGAAACCATTTCTAATGTTAGCTGTTCGAAGTTGTATTGAACTGTACGAAATTTCCTAAAAACCTTTCTATATATACATCATGCTTCTAGGTAATTTTATTTACCTGTTTCGTTATGTAGCTATATTTATGCAGCATGCTGAAAAAATTGTTTGGAAGCAAGTCAAATTAACTTATTTCAGATCTTGCGCTTACACACTAGAATACTTAAATCAATTCTTATGAACAAATTATTTTATTAAATAAAGAAAATTGATCACACATGTTGTTAAGTACAAATTAAATTATTATCCTTTTTGAACGAGAAATATTTTAGTCATAAAATGGCTAGACATAAAATTAACAGTGGGCTTCCTTTCGAAGAGAAATGATCAATTAAGTATATTTAACTTTAGTTTTTCATTTAAGTGTACATCAGTACTAAACACATCACGATGCATTTGGAGTTTTTATTTTGCGCACTGCTTTACCATTCCATTCTCATTGCTGGCTGCATGGGCGTTTTCGTGGTTTTCGACATGTGTAACGTGTAAACGAGCCAGTTTCCCTTAGAAAGTCCTCCACGAAGTCATCCCTCCCCTTTAGACAGATAGCCCTCGTGTGCTTTGCCATAACTGGATACTCCACTAATCCTTTAGATATCTATGTATTATTTTTAAGCGTGTCTTTGTTACACTGTTAGGTACGGGGCAACGTAAGGTTTTAGAAAGCAGTGAGTACTGTTTTATATTTTAGCGAATTCGTATCTTTCATGCTTTTAAATTGTGAGTGTGTGAGTGAGTGGCTGAGCAAATTTAAGTTTAGAAAAATATGTAACTCCGATAAGCATTTTGTTTGTTATTCTGCATTTGCGAATATATGTTTTATTTAGAAAAAATATTTCTAAGAATTTAAGTTAACAGAATTGTTAACAGGCTGCAATTTTCTCCTGAACAGTATCTACTTAGGTGAATCTTCGGATTATGGTAACTTGGCGATTTTTTGGCGACCAACCCTGCTGCAACAACCTGCTAGTTTGTTTGTTTTTTTCTTTTTGACGCCATTTTGTTTTCACAAAGTAAATGCATTTTTTCTTTTTTTTTCTAACTCAACATTTTTTCCAATAATCTGCTAGTCAAATTGCGCTTATACTAGAACTTTTATGGAACAAAAGTGCTTAATAACGACGAGGATTAGGTGCGAAATTGGGAGAAAGTGCAGAATCGCCCACTGCTTCGCGCGTTTTTAAGAATCGCACGTACGCGGTATCCATGTACACGTCGATCTATTTTCACTTAAAAAAAAATCCCAGAATTGCACAAAAATGACATTGCGCACACTCTTGATTTTATCCATGTTACACATCGACTTATTTTCACTTAAAAAGCCAAAGAAAACTGACAAAAATCCAATTCTTCTTACTCTTGTAAAAAATGCCAACAAATAAGTGGGCGATTCTGCACTTTAGCAGCGAAATTGTTTCCAAGTGCTTATTGGCTAAAATCACGATCGGAATTTTCCGGAAAATGTCACATGACATGTCTCATGATCTCTCATTTCTCTCAGACAAAATAATCTGTGATTCGAACTGTGTACTTCTCAGATTATCATTAAAGTCCTACTTAGTAACCTTTATCGCCTTACCAAAATATCGCCAAACTACATGTAACCATATTCCAAAGATTAGCCTCTACTTATGTACTATTTTTTCACAGCAGTACTACTGCTTAAGTAATATAATGTTGGCTATAATAAGTTGTGAATTGAATAAGTTGTGAAGCTATAATAAGTTGTGAATTGAAGGAGAGGATATATTGGTCAGGTATTCTTTGCTTCGCTATAACTGGTTTCACTTATGCGCAAGCGGCCGAGGGTAAGGCCGCTGAACACTGGTAGTTCGGAACTTTGGACTCAAAACCGGCTGAATGGGCGTTTTCATGTTTTCCCGTATGTGTAACATGTATACGACCCAGTTCCCATTTGAAAGGCCTCCACGAAAGCATCCCTCTTCCTAGGTAGATAGCCCTTGAGTGGTTTGCCGTAATCAAATAAACCAAACCACTTATCCGCAGTTCAGAGCAGTTGAGGTAGAGCGAGAAAAATTTCTTAGGTTAAGTGACAGCGGTCTTTAACACAGACGAAATATAAAAGTTCAAATCTGTCTGATAGTCTCGTTATGAACATACATACATTTTGATTTGGGTCAGATGTAACGAAGTGCGGAAGTTAGGAGGATTCACTACGGAACCCTAAATAGTTTCGGAGGTTGCAAAAACCTTTTCAAACGCTGTGCTCGTGTCCAGGTTAATGCCCATAAATATGATAATAGACGGCGTCACCTCTCAGTGTTTAGAGATTATTTGACTGTTAGAACGAACCGCTTAAATTCTATTTATCACTTTTGAAACAAAAGACTACTTTTATTGTGTCCGTAGAAACTACCAGTGAAGTAATATTACTAGAAAAATGAGTAATTAGTATCGGTATCATTCTTTGGATCAATATGGTATGCTAAATAGTAAAAACTATACTTCTTCATTCCTTGCTCGTCCACTGACAAGCATTTCTTTTTGTTATTTATATAGCTTCGTCTTATTCGTCGCATTTCTTGCTGATGCGATTCATGCTTTTGAATAGATATAGTATTCTACAATACTTTTATACAATAGGTATATGGTATTGTACAATATTTTTTCAATAGTGTAATATGTAATGTATTCTATCATAAAGAATACTCTATTATTGCATTATTTATTATTGGTGATGTCTTATTAGCAGAATTTATCAATTAAACGTAATTACGCATGTTACACAAAAATCTTCTTTCATGTAACATTCGCTGTTCTTTTTTTTTTTTTTTTTTCCACGTATCCTTGTAAAATCCTGAAATTTATTACTCGCAGATACTGCAGTACTATTGTATATGGTATATGCCTTCCATTATTATGCTTTAAACCATTATACTCACGGATCTTGAACGTACGTGGTTTTTCAATAATGTAAAATTTGAGAAAGCAATTCACTGCAAAAACTATGATGCAATATGCCACCTATTTTTGGATCCAGATAATAAGCTTCAAGCTCATATTTCCAAGATAACGACGTAACATCTGACCGGTTAGCACCCTTGCATATATTTTTATCGTGCATATATTTTGATAAATATTTTTATCGTGCATATATTTAGATAAATATTTTTATCGTGCATATATCTTGATAAATATTTTTATCGTGCATATATTTTGATAAATATTTTTATCGTGCATATATTTTGATAAATATTTTTATCGTGCATATATTTTGATAAATATTTTTATCGTGCATATATTTTGATATATATTTTTATTGTGCATATATTTTGATGTATATTTTTATCGTACAAAATTTCATCATGCATATATTTTTATCGTACAAAAGTCTATTTAGCCTGAGTGTCCATTAAGCTGAAGAGCCCACCAATGGCTGAAGGGTAAGTCACTAAACACTGGTAGTTTGGTCTGAGATTCGAATCTCGGCATGAGCGTTTTCGTATTTTTCCCCATGCACAACGTGTTATACGGGCCAATATCCCTTAAAGCGTCTTCCACAAAGGCATCCCTTCCCTTAGTCAGATAGTCAGATAGTACTTGAACGCTTTGCAGTAATTAAATAAGCCAAAGCCAAGCTATTAGCTGAAACTATGTTCTC